CATGCTTCTATTACTGACATATGTGTCAGTAATACGTCAAAAATCCGTATTTTTATAAATTACGTCATTTTTAAAATATTTAAATTTTTATTTTCGTATTTATTTAATTAAAATCGAATTTGAATTTTCTTTCTAATGTCCGAATTCTGACACTAAGAATTTACTACAGGTTCGGAGTATTTTACCTTTAAAAACTGGTGTCAGTAATACGATCTAAAGAGGGTCAATATTATGTACAAAATTATGTCAGTATAAAGTTTTAATTTTGATATTCATTTTAATTAATTAAAATAATTTCTTTATACTTTAAAATTGTTTAAACTATTTCAGTCAAATGAAAATCGATTACATTTGTGAAAACCTATATCTGACTACGACCTTTTTACCTTTTTTATAGTGATATTCGTCTAACAAATTGTGTGTCAATATTGTATACAATACTGTCAATAAAACAGTACAATTCGGTTTCTAAAAAGATGCTTTAAAATTACTGTAAACGTTAACGTCATAACAAATATCACAATGGTTCTCTTTAAATAAGAAAAGTAGTCCTTTTTAATAACCCAAAATGTTGTTCTAAAAATTGAGAATGGGTTGCTTTCGTTACGTACTTAATACATAAATAGTCTTTGTTAAAGCAAGAAGCAGCTTTAGAATAGGCTTATTAGCAGCTTTAGAATATATTGATATGATTTCTTATAATTTCGTGTAATATGGTACATCATATTTTAGGTATTATTTATAAGAATACATTTGTAGCAAATATTACTTATAATACTTTATAAAACATTATGTAATTTCGAATTAGATTTTCATAAATATCTTTTAAAAATTTTTATTTATTCATTGTTGCATATTAAGACTACTAGCAAAAGTACATTCTACAGTAATAATAAATTGAAATCAGCTGAATTTCACATATTTTTACTTTTAATTCAATAAAAAATATGTTTTGTTTGAATTATATTTTATTCATTTTTAATTTTTTTTTAAATAAGATGAAATATCCGTAGAAATCTAAATTATTATTCCATTTTTATTTAATATTATCATTTTAATCGTTTTAACCATTATTCATATATAGAATATAGATTACAGCATATGAAATTACATTGTCAGTATTAGGAACACAAACTGTCAGTAATAGACACAAACATTTGCGGTTATGTCAATATTAGGAACATTTTTGCTTTTCATTTTTAATCGAAAAATTATGAATTAAAAAATATTTTGATTAAATAATTTTATAAAAAACATTATTCTCAATTATCCAGATTATTCAAAAAATCGGAAACACGATCATTTATTGTGTCCCACATATAAAATATCTCACGCCAAAGTTGAATTTGTTGCGAAGTATGTCAGTAATAGGGACACTTACCTTATGCATTTCAAACGATTTATAGTTGAATAATGCACTTAAAAATGCTCGAAATTAATATTAGATTTTAGGAAATCACTGTAAATTAAAAAGAAAAGCAAAACTTAGAAATATTATTGAGGCAAATTTTGAATAATAATTTTAATAATAAATAAAATTTCTGTAAATAAAGCTAAAGAAGTTCCTGAATTTTGGAATTTGAAGAAATTACAATATTTTCTTTTTTTTTTGTTGAAAAGTTGATGGAAACGAGCCTTATAATAATTATGTACGTATTTAATATAATAACATATGATTGTATAACAAAAGTACTTATTATGTACTTAAAAATATTTGTATATGTGAATGTAACTCACAACTTTTTTCATATAAAAACATGTGTGTACGTATGCTTGTACATAATGTGTACATTTATTTTTTTCCTTTATAAACAGCTAAAGAATTTATGTATGAATGGAATTGTATAATAATTAAGTAGAATTCTTAACGTTTCATAAATTTTATTAATTGCTCTTACATTAACAAACACAAAATTTTTAGTAAGTATAATGGTATAAAACTTATGTACCATATAACAAATTCTTCTACATTTTCAGAATGAAAAAGAAAGACTTAATTAAGTCTAAATAAAATAAATTTTTTTTTTTATTTTTCTAAATTATTTAAAAGCAAAAAATTAAATAGAATATAATTTATTAATTTAAATTTTTATTTTAATAGGATAATTAAGAGTTGAAAATTTTAATAACAAAGCAATTAAAAAAGAATTTTTATACAACAAATTCTCTTATAATATAATTGTACTTTGTACTTTTAAGTTTAATTTAAATTTTAATAATATAAATTTTATTAATTCATGTAATTTCCATGTACACATGTATGAATATAGAAATGTACAATTTTATAGATACTAGTATAGAAAATATGTTTTTGGCATATAAATTCAAAAATAGATTTTTCTGAAACTATTCAAATATTTGATTGATTTAATTTATTCTAAGTTTGTTCCGTTTCCTTCATTGTTCTCTGAGTTTGGTTAAACGCAAAATGGAGCAAGGGATCAAAAGATGGTTTTGATGATATGTAAGGGCCTATTTTTATTTACTTTGAAATCAATTAAGAATTTTAGATTTTGGCCATATAGAGAAGCATGCTTGAGACTTAAGTCTCAAATTGTTAAAAAATACGCCATTTATCATACGTTATGTTTTGCCAATTTTCCATGTCATAATAATTAATGACTGCTTTGTTTTTCACAATTCATAATTGTTTAATAACAACAACTTTTGTTAATTTTTTGAACTCAGAACTGGCAACAATAATAAACATTAAATAAATTTAAATTCTTAAATATCAGAAATGAAATTCAATATCAAAATGGAAGTCCTGAACCTTTAATATTTTGATATTTTGTTTACTTCAAATATTAATGTTATTGCTGTATTAAAAATATTAAATAGTCCTGTTACAATTTCTTTGTATTATTGTTTAGATTTTTTCTGAAATTTCTATTTCATTAATTATTAAATTATTGATTATTGAATGTTTTTCTTCTTTCTCTAACACAATAAATCATACTTTGTCTAAAGCAATTACAACGAAAATAATTAAAAACGAGAAAAAAATAGAGTTGACCTTGTCAACTCTGTGATACCCGTACGAATTTATTATCCTATGTGCGAATAAAGATGCCGTAACCGACTATGGAACAGACTTTAAGTTGACGTATTACCATATTAATGAATGCAAAATTTCAGTACTATGTTTTTCAAAATACTATGTGTGCCAAACTACTATTGAAGTTGTATGGCAGCTACCAGAAAGAGCCAAGAAATTATAACGAATTTTATCAAGCACATCGGCCCTACTAATATATTTGCTTGCGTGAAATTTCAATACCACAGCGTTTATAGTTTTTGAGATATAACCAAATAACTTTTGAAGTTGTATGGCAGCTACCAGAAAAAGCCAAGAAATTATAACATATTTTATCAAGCAGATCGGCCCTACCAATATATTTGCTTGCGTGAAATTTCAATACCACAGCTTTTATAGTTTCTGAGATATAGCCAAATAACTTTTGAAGTTGTACGACAGCTACCAGAAGGAACTGAGCAATTTCAACGGCTTTTATCAAACACATTGGTCCTACTAATATATTTGCTTGTGTGAAATTTCAATGCCATAGGTTTTATAGTTTCTGAGATATAGCCAAATAACTTTTGAAGTTGTATGATAGGTACCAGAAAGAACCAAGTAATGCCAACGACTTTCATCAGACACATCAGTCCTACTAATATATTCGTTCTTGTGAAATTTCAATACCATAGCATTTATAGTTTCTGAGTTATAGCAAACAAATTTTGAAGTTGTATGGCAGCTACCCGAACCGGTGTCCCGATCATATCCAATTTAAATAGGGTTTTGGCACTTACTATAATAAATCATTTGTGAAAATTTGGTGAACTTAGCTCAATTAGTTTTTGAGTTATCGTTGGGACGGACGGACGGACGGACGACTGACAGACGGAAAGACAAAGCTAAATCAACTCAGGATTTGACGCTGATCAAAAACATACACTTGAGTCTATATCTAACACCGTTATTGCTTAGCGTTACAAACGGTAAGGCAAATTTAGTATACCCTTCGAACATACGTTCGTACGGGTATAATAAAGTGGAAAAAATTACACTTGTCCCATACAATATTTTTCTTTCTTTTTGCAAATTAAAAGAAAAAAAAATTACAAAAATGAATTTTACGTCAGTAATGTTTTCACAAACAGAATCTATTAAATTTTTTTTTTAATTTGGTCAGTTTACGCACCATATAATTTTTATTTGGTTTCACTTCATTTATTCACGCATTGACAATGAATATAATGTACATATGTAGATACCACACACACATAACAAAAATATGTTTGAAAAAAATATCGCACCGGAAATTAAATTCAACAATAGTTTTATTTACAGAATGTAACGGTAAAAATGTAATATTTTATTTTATTTTTTATAACTTGTTCAATTCAATTACATTTATGGCTAACGACTTAAAAAAACTATAATATTGTCTTAGAACATATCAGTTTTACTACATACATATGTATGTAATTGTACTTATGCACATACATTTATGTATACGCAAAGTGTGGGTGAAGAACCAGATCGTCGCATCTGGACTTAAAAAATCTTTATCTGGAGTCTGTTTTTCTAAAAGGAAGAGATCACATCAATAATAGAGATAAATTGAAAATAATTTGTTTTGGTTTAACTAGCTTATATCCTTTTTGTGTGTTAAAAATTAGTTTAAGAACGCTAGAAAACTTAAATGCGATCCTTTGAATTTTACTATGTCATTACAAGAATCAAAGCTATGTTTAAGTTTTCTTATTTAGAATGTGATACTTACATATGTATGTGCCAATCTTGATCTTGGTAAAGGGTAGTCCTTGGAAACTGTTACGTTAAATATATAATAATATTTTAAACCTAGTAATTTTTGCGAAGTTGAACATTGAAAATCAACCCTAAAAAAGAAAGAATAATTATTTTTTATATTATTTTTTAATTCAAAATTTTTATTAATTTACATTCTACTTTTTATGTTTATTTTTAGAATGTGGTGGACTATAACTGGTAATTTTGGCAATATTTTACCAATTGATTGGTCTAAATCATATGCAAGACAAATGCATATGCCAACATTGAATTTACAACAGAAAAAGATTAGTCAAAAAGTTGATGGTGATAGTTCACAAGCTCAAACACCAGATGAATTAAATGATTTATCAAGTGAAGATGAAGCTGTTGCGAATGATCTCGATATGCATGCTTTAATATTAAATGGTCTTAATCCAGACAATGATGAACCAATAAAAACAGCTGAAGAAGTTATTAAAGAAATCGATGATATTATGGATGAATCAACGCCATCTGAAGATGAAGTCATGGAATCAGAAGTTATGGAAAAAGCTAAAGAAGTTTTGGGTTCACCTTTATATGAAGAAAGTGAGTATATTATACAAAAGTATATTATACATTATATATCATAATGAGCATGTTATTTAATAACTTAAGAGTATATTAAACATTCTGTGCATCAGTATTCAGTACAATCCAGTAAAAAAATTGTTTACTAAAATGTTCACTCTACGATTAATTTTTTCCAGGTTTATAAAATTTATATTTTAGTTTAGTAACGTTTTGAGAAGTATATGAGTTATTATATCAGATGACAAAAAAAAAAGAATATAACCTTTTCAAAATTACTGGGCAATACTGGGCTTTATTCAATAGAAAATTCAAAAAACCGATTATTTCGTATGATATGACTAATGCTATTATTTTTGATAACAACGAATAATTTTAACCAAAATAGAAAAATATTTAAATAAATTTTTACAATAACTATTTGTGAAGGAAGGGCAATGATTGATAACACTTTCTATCGAGATAGAATGTCAATAACACAATTGACAAGATGTTCTTTACTTCTTATCTCTTGTCATGCATTTTTCGACATTTTAATCTTTTATGACTGGAAAATTCATTTAAAAGAACTCTAAAATTCTTGTAAAACGCATGTTTAGGGTTCTTACCAATGATAATAAAAATTTATCATTAAAATACTGGAATTTTTTTTTTTAATTTTCACAATTTTTTATCTAAAAATAAAATAAATATATTTTATCTGTTCAATTTACTGAAACTATCAATGTATTTGAACAAAAAATTTTAAATTATATATTTTATCTTTTAGAATTACAATCTTTAACAATATCACAATTAAATGAATTGTATATGGAAATGGAAGTTTTAATTCGTGAATTTAGTGAAACGTTGATTAATGAATTAGCATTACGTGACGAACTTGAATATGAAAAGGAATTGAAGAACACATTTATTTCATTACTGCTGGCAGTACAAAACAAAAGAAGACAATATCATGTTGAAAAGAAAAGAGGGAAAACACAAGGTAAACAATTGTCAGGTAAACCTATTTTTTTTTTTAAATTTAAATATAACTATTTTAAAATAACCTTTTTTTCGTATATAATTTTAGGTTTAGATCCAAAATATTTGACAACTGTAATTCCATACAATTTAGAATCAGGATCACCAGATAATCAAGCTTTGCAAGTTTTAATAAAAAGTAGGTCATAATGGATAAAATCCATGTATATTTTAAGAATAAAACAAAAATAAAATGTAACCACAAACTTCGCAGTTTTACTGATTAAAACTATCAGACAAATCAAATACTATTTAATTTTGTAATCTAATGTAACGAGATTTCATTTAGAATTTTAAAAATTTTTAAAGTTTTTATACATATATTTACGGAAGTATAAACAAAATTTGTAGCACTATAAAGTTCTGCATTGATTGACCTATATCTGTTCCGCAATACTTGAAAGAGCTAAAATTTTGCAAATTTGAAATGTGAATTTCGTCTCAAAATCTATTTAGGCTGAAATAGTGTATTTTTGATAAAGCAATATGCGTTCACATTTCTAACTTAGAATTTTAATGACATAGAAAGAGTGCAACTGCAAAAATTACAAAATTTACAATAGCGCAAAACAAGGGTTTTTTTTTAGCTGTGAAGTTCTAAGATTGCCATATATTTTTTAAAGTTTCTTTCTATCCCAGCGTATGTTTCATTTTCCAGTTCCCTGAAATATAAATTTAAATTTTTTATTAAAGTAATAAAAAAATTTAAAAGAAACTTACTCGAATAAACCCTCTTAATTGAACATTATTTTATTTTAGGTACAAAATAATTTCCGCAGCAGTAAAATCAAAACTGAGTTGTTGCGAGTATATCTTAAAAATCTTAAATTGCAGTTGTAATTATAATTGTTATTAAACTAAGCAAATTTTCCCCACATTACCAAACATATTTCTTTGGCAGCACGTAAAGTATTTCATTGCCAAACATATTAAAAATTTAATACAGAATTATCAAAAACCCAGATACGTAATAAATTTTTAAGCACAAATCAGTTTTATTAAACTTCTTAATTTTAAAATAGTCAAATTGCACTTGATCTTATGATCTACTGAAATACCATATAACTTTAAAACTAATTAAATATTTGGAAAAATATTCAAGCAACATGTGAACTAGAAATAATATAATAATCAAAAACATTTTGCAATCGATTAATCGAAGACAAGCAAAAAATATATTATTTCTCAAATATGGAATTACACAACTCTTTTATTTCTAAAACAACTATAATGTCAGTTGAACCAGTTAACCGAATTTTGCTTATTTTAAGCCCAAGCAGAGTAATATATCATTTTTTTTTAAAATGCACTTAGGTTAAAATAAATCATCAAAATATATTTGTAACTATTTACATTTCATTTAAATAGCATTAAAATATTTTTTTTTTATTTTTTAGTTTTGAAAGCGATCAATGAGGACAGCCCAACAGTACCCACATTATTAACCGATTACATTCTAAAAGTTTTATGCCCGACATAAATTATTTATTAAGTTAATTAAAATTTCATTTTTGTAAAAAAAAAATTAATATAAAAAATGAAAAAAAAAAAAATTTAACACAAAAGAATATTTTTAATTTTATTTTTAATTTAAAAAGCAAAAACTGTTTAAGAAATTATAAAATTTACGCTTTTAAATCGTTTTCATAATGACAGTAAAACTCACTTTAGGTTAATAATAGTAGAAAAAAGAAAAAACAAGAAAAATTAAAAAAAAAGAATAAAATGGCGCAATTTCAATTTAATTTATTATGAATGTATCATAAATATTGTATTTTTTAATATTTAAATTTTTAAGAAAAACAAAAAATGAACAAACATTTAATTTCAAAATTTATTTTAATTATGTCATTTTATAAAAAAATTTGAACAAGAAATAAATAAATTTGAAAGTATTTATTTAAAATTTAGGAAATTAAGAACAAAAACCAAAACTGTATATGTATAAATGCATATATGCATATATATCTACACTATATATACATATATATCCCTGTGCTATATAAAAATTAAACACAAAGAAGAAAAATAATCGTGCGCTTTCGATTTATATAAAAATTTAAATAGAAATTAATTAGAATTTTCTTTGTTTTAAGTAAAAATACGTACCAAAATTATAATTAAAGAATAATTATAAAAAAAAAATAAATATGAAAAAAAAATTACTGCCCTCTTTTGGAAAAACAAAGCAATTTGCATTATAATTACTTTAAAAAATATTAATGAAAGAAATACAAAAACAAAACAAAATGTTTTAAATTCTAAAATCTGAATTACAAGTATATAATTTTTTATACAATTCTTAGAAATAAATTAGAACTATTGTAATTAAAAAAGCAAAAAACAAAAAAAAAAAAAAAACAATTTTTTCGCTTCGTTGTTCATTCATTTTTTTCCCAAAAATTTTTGCACTTTAAAGCATTATATAAATTTAAAAAAAAAAAGGAAATCTAGAAAAAATATCAAAATAGTTTAATAATTGTTCTTCTAACATTACAGTAAAAATTTACAATACTTTAATAGTAGATTTTTACAATATTTTTAAAAATAAGTCCTTTTTTTATTCCTTAAGTAACAATTTTTATTGGTGCTTTTTTTCTTGTTTATATTTGTAAATCTATAGGGTTTCTATAGGTTTAATTTCATATACATTGACGGTCTTTTATTTTAGAAGCATTGAACATTTAAAATATAACCTTAATTAATTGCACGAATTTCAAAAACAAAACTATTAACTAAAAAAATACTTGTATCACACCATGTTTGCTAGATTATTATAAATGAAAAAAAATTTTTAATGCACATCTCAAAACTTTATCGTTTTTCTACTTCACCTTAAATAACATGAATAAAAAGCAAGAAATTAAAAAATACCTTTAACCGTCCTCTCACAGTATATAGAGTTTTTTCAAATACTTAAAAGAAAGATCAAACGTTATTCAATAAGAAATAATATTATAAACATCCAAATAAATTTTCATAAACAGAACAAAATATTATGCAATTATAATAATCGAAACACAAAAATAATTCTATTTCCAATTAATACAGAAAAAGTTTTTTTTTTTTATTTAATAAAGAGATTTGTTTTTAAATTTAATATAAAATTTAAAATAAACATTGTTATTTCTTTTTATTATTATTATTCAATAAGTCTCCTAAATGCTTAAAATTTGAACATAGAGACTTAAAATTTAAAATTTCAAACAAAAATGCACTTTAATATATACAATAACATTTAAGAAATTTTCGAATTCAAATTATAATTGAACAAATTTATGTTTATTTTATTTTTAAATTAAAAATTTTAGAATTTGAGACAAAAATTAATTTGATATTACTGTGTGATATAATTTAAAGGAAACAAAAAATAGTAAAAACTTCAAATATTCTTATATTATTCGTATTTTTAATTAAATTGTAGTATACAATAGATTTTCTTAGAAGAATAAAAATATTCTAGTATAAACGTAAGCTAAAAACTAAAATATACATAAATAGAAAACAAAAAAAAAATGAAAAATAAATTCAAATAAATAATTAATTAAAATGCAAAAAGGTTTTGAAGCGCTTCTAAATATTTGATATGTAATTATTATTATTTCTATATTAAGTTGTTATTTTTGTTTATCTTAATTTTAAATTAAATCTAAAAGTTTTTCATTTCATTAAATTTATTTACTTGATTCATTTTGGTAAAGCATTAAAAATTTAAAATTTCTTAATGGGAATGTGTAATTCAATTTGGAAATTTTTAAAATGTAGAATAATAAAATTTTGCAATTTTACAACTCATTAAAAAATGTAAAAAATAAAATTTTTGCAATTTTACAACTCATTAATTTTCATCTTACTGATCTTATCTAGTATCTTTTATCGAAAAAATACAACAATTTTTGAAATAAATTTCAATTAAATAAATTTCTTAAACATATTCTTATTTTTTTTTAAATATTGTATAATAATTTGTTTCATAGTTATATAAAAAAAAAATGTGGCCATTTATATTTTGTTATTTATAAAATAATTTTAATTATTAAGTAATAATATTATTAATTATTATAATTACATTTTAGTTTAGTTTCGATTTTCTGTGTTATATTTTAGAAATTCATTAATTCATTAATTTAAAAATAACATTTTTAATTCAATTTACAATTTACTTTTAATGTGTATAATAAAAGTTAATAAATAAAAAGAATTGTAAAATATACTTTCGGTTTCAATTCAAATACATACTACAAAGTTATAAAAATAAATTTTATTGGAAATATTATTACAAAATATAATATTGTTGTTCTAATATTATACTGAACTTATATAATTAATATACAGAATAAAATATACAAAAAATTATATAATTTTGATATAAATCAAATTTTTTTTTATTTTAATAATTTCTACTAAAGTAATTAGCAGAAAAGTTATTTAATAAAATAGATATCATTTAAAAAGATAAAGATTGGTACAATAACTATACAATTTCAAAACTAAATTTTTTATTTAATGTAGAAGAAAAATTAAAGGGCATTTAAGAAAAAGACAAATTTGACATCGACTTGAATTATTCAGCAATAAAACTTTAACTGCAAAATAAATAAAATTTTTTTAAGCCCAAAGTAAAAATTATGTTTGTTAATAATTTTTTTTTTTTAATTTACTACTTTATTTTACTTTTATTTTATTTTAATCTCAAATATAATATAAAATTTAAAATTAAATAAAATATGAAAATCAAAAATTTTCTTATATTTCTCTTTTCTTTTCAATACAATTTAAAAATTTGTTTGTAGAAAGTAAAATTTTGATAAGAAAGGATCGTGTTTATAAAAATTTGAGAAAAAAATTAAAAAAAAATTTAAAAAAAATATATATATTAATCATATATATATATAAATTAGTTAAATTAATCGTAATATATATGCATAATAATATATATTTATTAATAAAATTGTTGTTGTGGAAAAAATGAACCATAAAATTCCCTTTTAAAAAGTTGTAGTCAGTATAAGAAAATATAAAAAATATTTAAAAAAATAAACCGTACTTGAAGCAACTTTAAATAAAAACAAATTAAACATGCGTATTAACTTTATTGTAAAAAAAAAGGCAAAAAAAAATCATCACAAATAAAAATGCTTGAAATATTTTATGCTATTTGTTTTATTTTTCACTGAAAAGTATTTAAGATGCCCTTATGACAATAGAACAATATCGAAAGAACAAAATGATTAAATAATGAAATAAAGAACACTAAAATTGTTCCTCAAATCATTCTTATTAATTTAGATTTACTACTTATAATAAGGGTAGATTTATTATGATCGGCGAAGAGATCATAATAAGATCGGTGAATGACAGATTTAACAGCTAATTTGCTTAAAATTTAATTATTTTTAATTTTTATTGTAAAAAATCTTTTAAATTTCTGAAAAATCACTGTTTTAGAAATAATTTACTTTATATTGTTCTTACTTTTAAATAACTGTAATATTTCAAATTACAATTATTTATAAGTTATTGCCATTAATTTCATCAATTATCAAAAACTACTTAACTTCTTTTACAAAATAAGAAAATCTTTTAATATCTACTTTAGTCAAGAAAAATTTTCATTTATTAAATTGTTTGTTTGCATTTTGTCAGCACAATTCTTCCACTGAAAATCTATAAAACTGAAAAAAAAAACAGTGCTGAGAACAAAATATCTTCGCTGCAACAGTTGGTTTCTAATATGTCATGTACATATCCTCACATATCCTCACATATCCTTATATCCTAGTTCCAGACATGACGTTGAAAATTTATAAATTTACAAATTTTTTAAAGGTTTTAATTATAGTTTGTTAGGTTTTTCCTTTCTTAACGAATTAAAATTTTTCAGAAATTTTTAAGTGGTCTTATATTTAAAATTCGGTTGTTTTTTTTTATTAATGGCAGCACAAATTTAATGCAGTAAATAATACTGAAGCTCGTTTACGGTCTTAAATTCAAAAGCGCGCTGCATTTATACAACTTCGTAATATCTGCAAACTTAAACTCAATCATGCGCTGTTTACATTTCTACGAGATTGCGAAACTGAGAGTCGTACGAGATGTCGTTGTCGCGATTAAGTTTATATTGACAGAGACAGAAATTTAATTAAATATAAGTAGTCTAAAAAAATCTAGTTAATTTAACAATCTAAACGAGCTAAAATTTTTTGCATTGTTTTTTTCTTCATTTTTTTTAATTTTTCTTTAGAAATTATCTAAAGAATTATCCAAATTAAAAATGACGTTTGTCATTTAATTGTTATTGCATTTTGCAACGACAAAAATTCAATTTCCCGAATACCTGTTACTGTCGGTGTCGCAGGTATATAGGGCAAGGTATTTATTATCGGTGGATTGAATAATATTTTAATATTATTACCTGACTATTGCGACCTTTCATCTGTTTAAATCTGTTTAGAACTGTTTGAACGGCTTAGTTTTTATTTAGTGAGTTTATTAGTGATTTCTTTGTAATTTATTCAAAAAAAACATTGCACGATTTTATCTTCATTCAAGTTAATATATTTGAGTAAAATGGAGCTGAAGCTTGTTCACTCATTTCGAGAAAAATTATGTTCTTAAGTAAACTTAACTAATCCATTTCGAAAAATTGCCAGGAAAGTTAAATGGTGTAGAAGGTACATATGCTCACTTAAATAATTGTTGTCAAAGATACAAATCGTCAAAATATTTAGAACTAAAATTTGTACTAAAAATAATTTTCATAATGTTGAAAAATAGTTTTTGGATATTATCACAATAATATTATTTCGTGTAATATCATGAATATCATGTATTTATGATGTTTTTTGCAAACAAATTCTTTGTGAAGACTATTACAAAAGTTACTATTTTTTGGAATACATTGTAAATATTATTATGATTTCTAGCTTACCATGAACGTAAATTACGAAATGTAGGTAAAACTTTTCCAGTTGTTACCACCAGATGCAGTTGAAATAATTTTTTTTTTTATATCGTAAAATTTATTTTGTATTAATACACTGTCACTAGTTTAATATTTATGTCGTAAGAGGTCACTTCTATAAATTTATTATTTAAAATGTCAGAATTTTGATACACCCCTGGTTTTTCAATTAAGAATGTCAAATTCGGTTTCTTTTGACACATAAATTTTCATATGCAAGTGCAAGTCATTTACAAAAAACGAAATTTTTAAAAGTAAACTAAAATTGAAAGAATAAAATTTTTTAATGGCTATAACAGAAGTGGATGTAATTATTCCCGAAAAGGTAAACCTTGTAGAACTTTATTCTCAAAACAATATATAAAATAAAAGTAATATTGGATCATAAAAAAACATGCTTTTAATAGGAAGAAATTTTCGATTTAAAAACGCAGAAAGATGCTGCTCATAGTTCGCTCGAAGATTTAGATATTGAAGATTTGTACGTTCGCTATAAGGTATGTGTACCCTATTTACTATAATCAGTAAAAAGTTATATATTTGACGTCAATGTTAAAATTTTAGAAACTGCAAAAAACATTAGAATTTTTAGAGGTGCAAGAAGAATACATAAAAGATGAGCAAAGAAATCTAAAGAAGGAATATTTACACGCCCAGGAAGAAGTAAAGCGTATTCAATCTGTTCCATTAGTAATAGGACAATTTCTAGAAGCTGTTGATCAAAATACAGGAATAGTGGGATCAACTACAGGGTCAAATTACTATGTAAGGATACTTTCAACGATCGACCGAGAGCTGTTAAAACCTTCGGCGTCAGTAGCACTACATAAACACAGCAACGCATTAGTCGACGTTTTACCACCAGAAGCTGATAGCTCTATATCAATGTTGCAACCTGATGAAAAACCAGATGTTGGGTATGCTGATATTGGTGGAATGGATATGCAAAAACAAGAAATAAGGGAAGCCGTTGAACTTCCCTTAACACACTTTGAACTTTATAAACAGATAGGTATAGATCCACCACGGGGAGTTTTAATGTATGGCCCACCTGGATGCGGAAAAACTATGCTTGCAAAAGCAGTTGCGCATCATACTACAGCATCCTTTATTCGCGTTGTTGGTTCAGAATTTGTTCAGAAATATTTAGGTGAAGGACCCCGTATGGTACGTGACGTATTTCGATTGGCAAAAGAAAACGCTCCAGCGATCATATTCATTGATGAAATTGACGCTATCGCAACTAAACGGTTTGATGCTCAAACAGGAGCTGACAGAGAAGTTCAACGTATTTTATTAGAGCTTTTGAATCAAATGGATGGATTCGATCAAACGACCAATGTGAAAGTCATTATGGCTACAAATCGTGCAGATACTTTAGATCCTGCTTTATTACGTCCTGGACGTTTGGATAGAAAAATTGAATTCCCCTTACCAGACAGAAGACAAAAACGTTTGATTTTCTCAACAATTACATCAAAAATGAATTTAAGTGAAGATGTAGACTTAGAAGACTTCGTTGCTCGTCCCGATAAAATTTCAGGAGCCGATATTAATGCTATTTGTCAAGAAGCTGGTATGCATGCGGTTAGAGAAAACCGGTATATTGTTTTAGCTAAAGACTTTGAAAAAGGTTATAAAAATAATATAAAGAAAGATGAACAAGAACACGAGTTCTATAAATAAATATTTAAATTTCGTATTATGAGTTGATTTTTATATCCATGAGTGTAACAAATTTTGAAGTTAAATACAATATACTTAATATACATATAGCATTAATTATTGATGTGTTTAATAATAATTTTATAAAAATTAATTACTAAAAATTTTGTGAAATTCTCAAGGGCATATCATTTTTGTTGTATGATTAAATAGTAGAATTTGCATCAAAATATGCTTTCATGTAATAATTACATATATTAACATGATGAAAATTTAGAAAATCTTCGCTTGATTCTGCAATTTGGACTATTTGCTTGCTTTAAAGTCTTAGACTTTTTCAAATAAGGATCGTAATATTGTATCAAAATAAGCCGGTGATACTTATCCCTTCAAAACTTTTACCCACTTATAAATGGACACTAAAAGTCATTACAAATGTAATATTTTTAACAGAAATGGACAGTACGGACTTGAATTACAATTTATCAATTATATAACAATTGAATGTAAAATTTGGGCCCAATCCGTAATAATTGCATTAGTTATACATTTTTATTCTTAGACTGAATCTTGTAAATCAAATGCTTTGTCCAAGTAGTTAGTTTACATATGTATGTATTCTAGAATTCTGATTTCGAAGTTAATGAAAAGGTGAAATAGAAAGTCGAGTACAACAGGACCCTAATTTCGAAATTCCTCCCAAAAGTATGCAAAAAGCAATTTTTAGTAAACTGATGATTTTCACTTTGGTATGGAGTTTGTAATCACTTGAAGCAGTCGTCTCCAGTATCGACATACATATATGTATATATTCTTGCTCAGCGTAACATTCTACGTTGATTTAGCCATGTCCGTCTGTTCGATCGCGCGATAACTCAAAAACGAATAACGAAATTGGCACCAAACTTTCATAAGTTGTTTCTTTTGTACAAACGACGGCTGCTTTTATAATTGGACCAATTCGGACAACGGGTTCTGGTAGCTGTCATACAACTAATTTTAAATATTCGGAAAAATAATAAAGCCTGATTTATGAAACTTGGCAGTGATATGTCCAATTGTAGGTCGTATATGTACATTCTTGAAGTTTTGGTGGAATGGCTTGACAGGTTCGGGTGGTTGCCATGCTAGTCAAAGTGGTTTTTTTAAATATTTCAAAAACTAATAAAGATATTAATATCAAAATTTGCAACCTATCGATCTATATACGGTTTTTATACACTTCTTCAAATTCAATATATGTATTTTCAGCCAGTTTACTAAGTGCATTATGAAAGTTGTATACATATATTTCTGCAACTTTCATAGTTCTTTCACTTCTACAACTATATTGAATTTATATTGAATTTGTTTATAACTGTACTGAATTTATATTGAATTCGAAGAAGTGTATACAAACCATCGTGTATTCCTAAGTGATTTTATTCTCCAACAAAGTTAAAAAGTTTCCTCAAAGTCAACTCTCAAACTTTCAATTTAAACTTTAATTTAAATTTTTAAAGTTACAATTTGTTTTTGCTGTATAAAATAGTTTCATTTTGCGGTTTACATTTTACGTACATATGTACATATTATTATGTGAACATGCATATCTATGTAAGTATAAACAAAGTAGGTTTTAAATTTGACAAACCTTTAGAAAAAAAAATTTAATTGAATACTGAAATTTGATTTTCAATTTTTCTTTTTAATTTAATTTAAAAAAAGTTAAGATTGATATAAATCTTAGATCTTACGTCCATTCGGCAAAGGACCTATTATTTAGTTACCAAAGAAGATCAACTCAACTGAGTACGATAATGGGAGAAGCATCATAATGTACATATTAATGTGTAACATACATATGCACCACACATGTCATTCAAAGTCTTCGAAATAATTATTCAGAACCGTTTAAGGAGAAAAATAGAAGACACAATTTGTGAATAACAGATTTGTTTTAGAGTCAGTAGCGTCGATCAAGCAAATGCACTTCAAATCAAAATACATACATACATATGTATTTTGATTTGTATATGTATGTATGTATATACATACATATGTAATATCTCTTCACAAAGAGCAAAAAGAAGCTTAAAGAGAAAAAGGAACACCGAAAGTATAGTTAGATTAATCCAAGAAAAAATCTCCACTATATGACCTCGCAGCAATAGCGAAAATGAGTACGATATTCTTCACCCTCCAAAAGGAAGTCAAAAAGGCTTCTTTGCTATTCTTTACTATCATGCTGGACGATATATCCATACAAATCTGGTACTCACACAACATCTGAAAAATTCATAAATTAGCGTAATTACAGCCATATAAGGTGAATATAAATTAAAATATGTATATGAAAACAACAAAATTTATTTGACGCTATAGTTTTGAATTTCAGTCTTCAGCTCCACCAATGTGTATCATTGAAGTAAACCGTATGGCGTAAGTTTTATGTCAAAATATTTATTAATAATGAAGTAATTAACATTGGATTCGTTTTTAAAATATCAGCATATGTTCAATATGTACGAAGGTAAATAAAATATTTGATTAGATCAATTTAAAAAACAGAAAATAAATAAAAAAATAATAATTTATTCACGAGAATTAAAAAACAATTTATTATCCAAATTTTTTATTTATTTTCTATTATTTTTTTTATTGTTTAGCTCTTTAAATATTATTTATTTCTCATCACCCACTTTTACTTTTGATTTTTCTTTTTCTATTAAAATATTAACATTCACAATACAAAATGGGTGTTACTAAAAGTAGTGTCCATTTTTTTTTATTCGTTTGTTGTTTGTTTTTTGGAAAATTATAGTGACTTATTATTGACTTTGGTTTATCTTTATTAATATATATGTTATTATTTATTATACATATGTGTGTGTGTTCAAATATGTAAGATATTCATATGTATGTATGTATTTATATGAGAAAAAATTATTGAAATTCGTTCTACTTTTTTTTTAACCAAAAATTTTATCGGATAAGAGAAGAGGTCAAAGATTTTTAAATGTAATCATACTGACTGCTATATGTACATACAGGTATACGTGTATGTTCGTAAAATAAATTCAGTTTAGTTAGTTAATGTTTATTTATTTCAATAATTATGTTTTTCTACAGTATGTTACCACTACATTGTGCCACTTTATATACTTACACTACTACTAATGAACATTGTTATTAACAAACTTTAAGATTGATTTTTAATTAATCTTCAATTTTTCTATAAATTTCTTATTAATTTCTAATATAAACGTGTGTTTGTATTATTTATTTCTTTGAAGAGTTCATTGGTTTGCCTTGCCTTGCGCTTATAGTGATATTATTTATATATTATTTACTTTAAATTTTCTTGTATATTATGTTTTGTGTGTAGGTTGGTACTTTTTTTCTTATGATTATTCTTTTTTTTAAATTAATAAATGATAAGAAATTGAAAAAAAAATTGATTACTTGCGAGAAAGAAAAAAGTAATTTTTTTTTCTCATTTTTACCATTATTTTTCAATATTGGTAACTGTTGTGTATTTCACTAATTATTTTTCGATTAAACAAGTTAAAAAAAAAATTCGTTGGGGGAAAATTTAAAAAAAAAATTATAATTTTATATAATTAGTAATTTTTGAAGAGTTGATTATAGAAATTTTTTCAATGTTTCCTACTGTGTTTAACCAAAGATATTTTTTTTAGTGTTATTTATGTACATTCATGTATACAAGTATTATATTTACCTATATATGTCTGTATATACGATATTTATAGGAATAATTTATTTTTTTATAAAATTATCGTAAATTTCTATACGCAAAATATTGTTAGTTTATTTGGTTTTTTCTGTCTTAGATTCTGGAAAATCAAACGAAGTTGGATAAAATAATTACACATATGTATATATAGCAAAATATTTTATTAACATTTTTTTGATATTGTTTTAAAATTAATAATATAAAATTCTTTTATCAAGTTAGGATTGATTAATTTTCAATTCAAAAATTAATTAATTTTTCAAGAAGACCGAATTGCATATATGCAACCATTCGAGTTAGATTAATGTTTTTTTGAAGAAAACCAGAATTTCTTGGTATAGTAACTTAGATTAAAAAAATTTTAGTTTAATTATCAAAAAAAAATCTATACTTATTATGCTATTAATTCGATCACCTTCATTTTGGAAAGTTTGTTATGAAAACCTCCGCGAAGGTTTCTAAAAAAAAACTAATGTTTAAAAGTTACTGCTAAAAAATATATTTTTTCAGGTCTCGGCGAGATTGTACATAAATTTTGTTTCTGTAGTTTTTTGGAAATCAGTATTGTAAATCTCAGACAAAGATATTCAGAAAAAATATTTTTATTAGGAAGAAGCTCCAGTCTTGATAATGAAAACTAAAATTCTCCCCCTTCTAAGACTATAAAATTTGTTGAACATTTACAGGAAATTTGCAAATTTTGGTCTTTTTTACCGACCGTATTGTGTATACAATTGGTAGGTCATGTGATGGCGACAAATTTAGCATATCGAGTTTTCGGTGGGAATGCACTTTTCCATAGTAGGGAAGTGTAAATAAACTATTTTTAGCAACCTGCCGGTCTGTCAATCTGTCGGTATGTCGGTCTGTCGGTCTGTGTGTGCACGCGTGTATCTCAAGTTCGGCTGAACCCATTTTCATGAAATTGTATATGTAAGTTTATTTCGACCATGGCACGGATTGAGCAGCTTTTGGGATATATCAGGGCTCGAAAACTGATCTGCGGGCCGATTTTACATTTTTCACCATATCTACGGAACGAATTGGTGGAATTTCTTGAAATTTGGTATTTGAGATCTGGTTACCCAAACTAACAGGCAAGTATTTCAGAGAATTCGGGTAGCACAGAGCGAAACTCTACTATGAGCCAAATTTACATTTTTCTAGGTATGTTAACTATAAGCTTACAATTGTCCTAAAAATTGGTATTTAACAGACATTTTTTTAATATTCTGTAACAATTTCACTTAACTAGACAATACACATTGCGGTCGATTATGTGCTGACCACTATATGTGCAGGATATGTAGATATACTAGAAAATTGTTACTTGTGAAAGAAATTGTGAGGGCGAAAAATAGTAGAAAA